AAAAAAAAAAAAAAAAAAGTTTGGTAGAATTCGCCTGTGATGAATTATTGATAGTTTATTATCTACCGCATTTGTTACTGCTTTCTATTCCTCACCGTTTTTGTTCTCATTTTTGTCTTCCACTCTTTTCTTGGGTGGGGACGGGCAACAGGAGGTAAAGTATGGAAAAGGGAATGTGTGGATTTTGAGCATCCAAAGAGGTGACAGAGGAGTTTGTATTTCTTTGGCTGCCTCCTTTGGGGAAATTCCCTATTGAGTGCATTTTTTTGTGGACATCAATGCGCATTTCCCACTGTAGAAGCTAAAATGGGCGACCCTCCTTCTCTTCACTCCTTGGCATGTAGAATGTGGGATGATGACCTGGGCTTGGACAAATGGGCACCCCCAGGCAAGACTTTGAGTCTTGATCAAATGATGGAGCAATTATAATGTATTCACAGCAGTGGGTCAGTGGCATTGTCCTGCAGCAATTTAGAAACTGTTCTAGGAAAACAGATTGTTTTGTAGAAACCCTGTGTGACTTGAACAGGGGTTCAAATCCTAGCTGTTGTGACTTTAAGTATCTTCCTGTAATTATATCAAGTCATTAATTTTTAAATTTCTCTTTCTACTGCCTTGTAAAATTTTATCTAGCTTTGTCACTAGTTGTGTTACATTAAGAAAATCACTTCACCTCTCCCAGCTTTTGTCTTTGCCTTTTAAAAAGGGACCAGGTACTGATGTACATAAAAGCACCTAGCTCATAGTAGACCCAGGTAAGCCAATGAATCAAGCCTTCCTCTTCAGCTTCCCAAGGTCTTTCTTCCCTTGGGCCATGGGGGGCAGGAAGGTGCAGGCAGTACCCAACTTTACCTTCAAGCGTTATTGCGGTCTTCTGGCCCAGTTACCTGGAAGAAACAGTACAGCCTAGAACAAGCACTGCATTTCACCTTTTCTAAGGGCTGCCAAGAGAGTGCCTTGCAGTGGTTCTCTGGCCCACGGTGGGCACTCAGTACTGATACCATCATGACAAGCCCTCTGATCCCAGTGTCCATAAGCAACAGATATTGCTCCGTGAGAAGAGGGGCCTCCTCCATCTTCTCATACACTATTCCCAGCGCCTCAGACCAGTGCTCGGCATACAAAAGGCATACACTCAAACAGGTACCTAACATTATTGGGGATGGGTGGACAGCGTGCCGCAGTCTCTTCACCTGCAACTGAACCTAACAATACTGATCCTAGGGTGGTGTGAGAACAGGATGGAGAATGGATGGGACAGTACTGGTCTCTGGTGCGTGCTTGGAACTCACAACAGATGAGTTTCCATCTTTCTCTTGATCTTTAACTTTTTGATCAGAATCTAACATAAGTGAATTTAAAACTGCTGGGGAAAAATGACTGCCAGTCCCTTCTATGTACAAATGGAATTTCTGTCCTTTATACTCTTTGCATGTGCTAATAAATTCATTTGGTTAGAGCTTACGTGCCTTCAACATTTCAGTGAGAACTTCCTAGTGCTCATGTAGTTAAATGACAAAAGTTAAATTATACAAACATGACGGAACTATGTTTAGAATATGGATGAACAGGAAAAAGCTTGGAAGGGAATTTGGAAAGAGCTGCTGTTAGTAAAATGAAGTTGAATTTTTAAAAATTTTAAACTTGTGAAAGGAAAAAAAAATATGCCCAAAGAAATGTCCCCATCCTTGTAAAATTAGGGAATGTTGGATTCCCATCACCTCCTGGAGACCAACATGAGATCTGAGGCAGTGGGAATTCTACTGGTTGGAGCCATCACCTTGTCACGATGGGGGGAAGGCTCCAGGGAGTCTAAGCGAGGTTCCAGTCCCTGAAATTCCACGTTTCCAAAACTGAACTCACCTTCGTCTTCGCCATTCCTCAGGCTTCAGGAACACCTTGGATCCCTCTGACAGCTCCTTTCCCCAGGCCACCTACTGAACCCGCTTCTGTTCCCTCCTGTCACTGCCTTTGCTCAGGCCCCACATCCCCTGCAATTCCAGGTGCCCCTTAACACAGGGATTAGGGGCGCTGTCCCCCTTCCGGTCAAAAATCTGCATGTAACCTGACCCTCTCCAAACTTAACTATTAATAGCCTACTGTTGACTGGAAGTCACTGAACACATACCGTGTATGCTCTCTACATAGAGACTGTATACTGTGTTCTTACGATACAGCAGCCTAGAGAAAAAAATGTCAAGAAAACCGTAAAGAAAAAAACTTACAGTACTGTATCATCAGAAAACAGGAATCCACAGAACTGCACAGTTCAAACCCGTATTGTTAGAGGGTCAAGGGTACTACATTCCCCGGACTGCTGCCTTTGGTGCATCCGGTCTGCCGTCAGATCAACCTGGTGGCGCCCAGCTCTACAATCCTTAGCCTCCTGTTTAAATATTTCCCATGTTCCCAGTGCTTACAGGACCAATGCCAGATTCCTCCTCCTGGCATTCAAAGCACTTTGACCCAATCCATCTGCTAAACTTGCTTCTCACTCCCTGTTATCACACTCTACGCCCCCTGGGCATCTTCCCCCACGCTTTCCCAACTCCATGGCTCTGTACACAGATTTTTTTTTTTTTTTTTTTTTTAAGGAATGCCTTCCACATCCACATCTCTGGAGGTTCAGCCTAAGTACGGTCTCCTCAGGAGGTCCCTGAACCCAGAGGAAGTTACAACTCCCTCCTCTGAATGCCCACTTTTTACCCTAGTGATGTTTATCATTTGCAACCAGACCACGAACCCCAGGAGGGGCAAGAAATACTGATTTTGTCTTCCCATACGAGGTATGGTCTACAGAAGGTGAGAGAACATTGTTTTAAACCAAGGAACAGCCCCCAGCACATTCCTAGGCAGCAGTCCGTGAAGTGACTTTCTCTCCTCCCAAGCTTGCCACAACATGTGACGAAGGCCCTCCAGCTTCCCCCCTGCTCTTGATGCTTCTCAACCCTCCCTCAGGGGTGGACACCAGACTGGAACCACCGTACCTCTGGTCCTTTCTTTAGAGCCAGGCCAGGAGTGAACAGAGGTAATCCAACATCGTTTTTCTTCCTGGCTTTTGGTTAGTCCAAATCCTAAGGTGATGAGGTTTGCTACTTCAGCTTCATGGCAAGAAATGCAACAGCCCAGAGGAAAAAGTTCTCTGTTCGAGAAGAACTCATCTGGTGATGCTCTGAGTTCCCGAACTGATCCATTTCTCTCTCCTCAGCTTGGCCGGTAAGCTTCTTGAGAGGAAGGACTGTAAATTCCTAAGAAATCTGCCTTTATTCTGTTGGGTGAGAAAAATCCTTTAGGAATAAAGGCTGGCACCCTACCCACTCACCGGTGACATCCAGGGATGTGACACTCTGAGCTTTTTATGCTAAGAAAAGGAATACCAAGATAGGTCAGGAGATGCAACTTGGATTCAAACACCGTGAAATTTTGTCAAGCAAAAATAGTCTTTATTCAAATTTAATGGAAACAGGGGTCACTATACTTTGCAAGACGGGGAAAAATAAAATTAAAAAAAATTCTTTTCTTTTCTTTTTTAATATAAAACAATATAATCACAATACCAGAATATGGAACTCTACAGTTTATTTCCTATGGGTTACTGCAGGTATCAATTTTCCTCGACTGTGCTATTCACAACTTTGTTAAGTCCAAAAGTATGAAACCAAAGTGGTAGGAAACTTAAGACTTCGCACTTTCACTAAATGGCAAACATCAAAGGGCATCAATTCGAGGGCAAAAATGGCTGAACTCACCGTACCTACCTATGTCAGCATTCCAGCCTGAAAGCCGTCCAGGTACTGAGCTCCCTGTAGGAAAGGCCAGGCTGAGGGCCGCGGCGGTTTGGATATTCTACTGTGGGCCATGAGTAAAGGGGGTTTTCAAAGAGAAGATTGTTTTCAGTCGAGCAGGAAGGCCTGGAGCCAGGAGGCTTTACGGAGAGGAAGCACTTAGATTGAACAATTGTAGACACACCATTAGGGGAGTTAAAAATGTACAGCAGTGACATATGTTCTACTTGGATCACTTGTGCTACGGCTACCAAACATGTACAAAAGACGTCTCGGGGAGTTCCAGCTGTGCTCGTAGCCAGTTAGGACCGCGAGTGGGACCTGGATCTAGACCGAGACGGCGATCTGGATGCAGACCTGGATCTGGACTTGGACCGAGAGCGGGTTTTTGAAGCAGACTTTGATCTGGAGCGCGACTCTGACGGAGGGTTGGGTTTGGACTTGGAATTGGACCTCGACCTGGACCGGGTCTCCTGATGGGTGCCGGCATCCGCACTCTCCCCTCGGCCCTCCCTCTGGCCGGCCTCGGCCTTGGCGTGCTCCCGCTCCTTGGACGCTGAGCGGGACCGCGACCGGGACTGCGAGCGCTCAGCGTCCTCCTTCTTCTTCTTCTTGCTGCCGCCGCTGGACTTGCTGTCGCGCTTGCCGCCGCGCTTTCTGCTCCTCTCGCTCTTGCTGCGGCTGCGGCTGCGGCTACGGCTGCGGCTGCGGCTGCCCTCCCGGCTCCTCTTCCTTCCCTTCCGCTTGTCCTGACTGCGGCTGCGGCTGCGGCTGCGGCGCGGCCCCTCCTCCTGGCTGCGGCTCTTCTCCTCGCTCCTGCTCCTGCTCCCGCTCGCCCGCTTCTCCTCTGCGCGCCTCTCCTGACTCCGGCTCCGGCTCCGGCTCTGGCTCTTGTGCCGACTGGGGCTCCGGCTCTTGGGCTTCCCGGCGCTATCGCTGTTCTGGATCTTGTCCCCGGCCTGGTCGTCACTCTTGCTGCGGCGCTTGTCAGCGCTGCGGCTGCGGCTGCGGCTCTTGTCACCCTTGCTGGGGCTCCGGCTCTTCTCCTTCCGGCTGCGGCCGCGGCTCTGGCTGCGGCTGCGGCTCTGGCTGCGGGAACGGGAGCCTGACCTGAGGAGACACAGGTGTCAGGGTGTCGCACGGGGTCGCCCGCCAGGACAGCCGACGCGAGGGAAGGGGGGCAGGGGGGCGGCACCGGCGCAGGACCGCCCTCCGCAGCCCGACTGCGGCCCCAGCCGGAGGGCCTGGGGCGAGGGAAGACGGGGACACGCACGCGGCCCAGAGCCCTGGGCCGCCCCTGCTCACACCCGGGAAGGCCCACCTGGACCGCGATCTGCTCTTCGAGTGGCTGCTCTTGCTGCTGCCGCTCCGGCTCCTGCTCTTACGAGAATGTCTGCTTCGAGAACGAGACCTGGGGGGAGAGAGCATTCTCTAACACCTGCGGACAAAAGGCTGGCTGAACAGTAAGGCATTTTTTTATCGAAAAATAGGTCTGGCACGGGCTGTGTCCAGGCTCAAGGGTGAAAGAGAACCCTCCCCACTGTTCCAGATCCAAGGGCCCAGTACCCGCAAACGTCCCACCTGTACGGCTTCCCTGAAACTCAGCACCTCCAATCCTGAACCGCTTTACCTGGCACCCACTCTTCTGGCTGGGCTCCTTCCTTCTTTCCGCCGATGCCACTGTTATTTACCTGGTTCCTCATCCCAGAAACCGGAGCCACCCCGGACTCTCTCCTCTCCCCCTCGTCCTCTTCTATACTAATGATTCTGCCCTGCCCCTGCCCAAGCCACCAGCATCTGTCTGGGCCCCTCAACAGCCTCCTCACTAGCCTAGCCTTCTTCTGGACACTTCTGCCCTTTACCTACCGACTGACTCACTGTGACCAGACAGCCGTTTTTAAAAAAAAAACACACCCAAACTCTTAAAAAAAAAAAAAATCTTTAAAAGGCCAAGACTGTGAACTCTGCTTACTTCCTACCACAGTAACCAGGACTCCTGGGGAAACGACTGATTCCAAGATCAGGGCAGGGAATGCACAAGATGGGCCTAGAACATCTCATCAGGGCAGAAAGAGGGAAACGTTCAAAGACTGCCGAGCACCACGATCTACGAAAGAACTTTTGCCAAATACATTTAACCTGTATCTCCATCACACCTCTCTAAACCTAACTTCCAGTTTAGGGGAAGCAGGGGATAAAGTACAAGTTCACTGATGCCAAGAGGAAACAGAAAATTCAGAATGTGGGATACTACTAAAAAAAAAAGAAAAAGAAAAGTCAATGTCGTTGGGGGGTGGGGGGAGGAAGAGGGGACTGCTTCAGACCAAAGAGACCTAACACCACCTCTTACAGTGCAAGACTAGACTGGGTTCGGTCAGGAAAAAAATGAAGACCTCTGTGGAACCACTGGAGAAATCTGAAAATGGCCCGGAGAGAAGATGACTTTATGGAATCGCTGTTGAGGTTCTTAGGTAAGAAAATGTAAATGTGGTCATCCTCATTCATGGAGACACATGCTGAAGTATTTAGGGGTGAAGCATCAGGTCTTCAACTTCCCTTAAAATGCTACAGCAAAGTAAATGTATAGGGTACATGCACAAATATACACACATACAAAGAAAGAGAAGACAGAAGATGGCAAAATCCTAACAACTGAAGCCAGAAGGAGGTTACACGGGTGTTCATGAACTATTCTTTCAACTCCGATGTTTGAAAATGATCTCAATAAAAAGCTTGAGAAAATACATAGTGAAGCATATTCATCTGAAAACCAAACAAAACCAAGATACTGAAGACACAGGAGCCAACTTTAAGGGCTCCCAATGACCAAAGACAACAATCTGAGCATAAAAAATTTGCTGCAGTGGATGAAACATTAAATACACATCAACGTCTGAGAATTCATTCAAAATATTACTATTAAACCACCACCCTCATCCTTACCTTTGGGGAACCCTAGGGCACATTTAAAATTCTAAAAGTTGGTAAATAAAGGTGTCAAACTTTCATTTTGCATTTCCTATAAAAATTGTATTTGAGAGCAACAAAAGAGTGGAAATCATCATTGATAGAATTACAGCCTTTAAACGCAAAAAGAATGAGGAAGTTAGAAAGTCATCACCTGGCAACAGTGACCGAATGGCTCCAGGGAGGGAGGATCAACGGACGCTAAGACTGCCAGGCGGACTACTGCGGAACTCCAGGAGGCACGGCTCAGGCTCACAGCCCCAGACATGCTGATGCGCTCTCCCCCATCATTCGCAGTGGGACATCCAGACACCACACGAGTGATGCAACAGGAAGTATAAAGTACTACTTATGAAGTACACCTGCTAAAATACTGGCCTTACTCTAAACGCCTCAAGATCTAACTATGAGTTTACAGGAAATACGGGAGGTAGGATAAAGAAACATGATAAATATCACAAGATGTAATCCGAAAAACCTCCACTAGGAGAAAATCTTCAAAGCAGGCAACTGTGAAGATTAAATGCATGGAGAATAAAAAAAGGACAAAGGAGGACATACCAGTGACTAAAAAAAGAATTAAGAGACATGCCATCTAATGGCAATGTGCAGACCTAGTTGGGATCCTAATATGAACAAACCAACTGCAAAAATACATATTTGAGACAACTGGGGAAATCCGAATACAAATTTGCTAGCTGTAATACGGCATCATGATTTTAGATTTTAGATGTACACACTGAAAGAGTTATAGACAGAATGACAGGATGCCCAGACTTGCCTTAAAATGAGGCAGTGGGAGTGGTGGGGAGGTAAGACTGGCAAAATAACAAGTGATACAGCTGGATGGGGGGCAGGCCTAAGGGAATTCAGGGCTCACGAAACTATTTTCTCTAATGCTTTATGTATTTGAAATTTTTTCTTAAGAAAAAAATTAAAAAACAACGCCAAACCTGGAAAGCTTAGAAGTCTCTAGTGACTTCCCACTGCTCTTAAATCCTTACCCTGGCCCGTGGCTCGCAGGATCTGGCCCTTCTCTGCATCATCTCAAGCCGCTCTCGTCCTGCTGCCCTCTGCGAGAAGGAGAAGGGCACTAATCCTCTCTCCGCCCGCCATCTCCAGCTTCTCCTTTAGAGCTCAGCGTCTATGACACGTCCTTAGAGAAGCCCCTGTCAGTTCTCCGAACTAGTACTGTGTACATGTCCTTTGCCACACACCTATTACAACGGTCATTATTTGCTCAATGCCTGTTTTCTCCACTAGGCTGAGTGTCATGAGGGCACGGACCGTATTTGTCTCGTTCACAAGTGCCTGGCCTAGTGCAGAGCAGTTGCTGAATAAGAAAGTCTCCACTCTTGAGTAGGTGGTGTTTGGGAAAGTAAACCAAGCGACTACTCGCCATGTTTGTCCCCAATAAGGGTATGATCTGGGGTACCAAAGAAAAAATATGAAAACAGGTCACTGGTATCTGCCTCAGAGAAAGAAGTTCGATTTGTACTCATGATGTAAGAGTTCAAGAGTTTTACAAATAAATGTTCAGTTCAAAGTTACCGAACCAGACAGAACCATGTACTAAGAATTCAAGAGAAGAATGGAAATGGATTACCCATCTATGTACTCATTAACGGACCGACAGCAAGCACTGACACACAGACATCAGCGGTACCTTGAGTGGCTCCGGCTCCTGGAATAGGACCGGCGTCGTCGAGAACCCGGCTTGTCTTCAACTAATCTGATTTTTCTGCCATTGACTTCAGTTCCATCTAACTTTTCCAAAGCTCTTTTCATATCAGAATAAGACACAAATTCAATCACCCCTTCATTTTTGCGTCCCTTGTGAGCATCTGCATAGGTCACTTCTCCTGCCTGACGCATGTAATCCTTAAAAAAAAAGAGAGAAAAAAGAAAAAAAGAAAAGAAAAATCACTCAATAGGTTATGATACATTTTGCTAAAATGTCTAATGCAATTATCATAACGAAAGTTTTCCCTTTCCTTTGGGAAGAAAAACTGGTTTTCTTCAGAATGAAGTTCACTCTTTAAAATATTTCCATCTACATACCAACCATTTACTAAAGTTCTTTAAAGCATCAGGTGAGTGGTAGAGACAATAAATATTTATTCCTTTAAATAGTTATGTGTGAATATGAACATTTTTAACTCTCATTTTCTAAATTTTATAGTGGGAAGTTTTTTGTTTATAGCAGCATTAGATGTTCATATTACCATATGAGTAAATGTAAAAGTTAGGTCTTTTACATTTCATTATAAATCCTTGTTTAAAAACATGTATAAATATTAACAACTATCTAGGGTCGTATAAAAAAATCCATAAAGGGATTACGAGATCAGCACCTCAGTTTTACTTAAAATTGCTGGTAGGGGCGCCTGGCTGGCTCAGGCTGAAGAACATGTGACTTTTGATCTCAGGGTCATGAGTTTGAGCCCCACGCTGGGTGTAGAGATTACTTAAATAAATAAAACTTAAACAAAAAAAATGAAATTACTGTTATATCATTTCTTCAAAACAAAGACAGAAAAGCAACAAAACAGTACTGTCAAGCTCTGGCTTCAGAGGTTCAATGACAACCCACGTCCCTTCACTACTCATTCTCTTTGGGGAGTTAATATAATCAAGTGGGAGAATACAACTAATGTGCTGGATAAATACTAAAGTGATGTACAAGGGGCGCCTGGCTGGCTCCGTTGGAAGAGCACTGGCTCTTGACCTTGGTTGGGGTCGTGAGTTTGAGCCCCACGTGGGGTGTAGAGATTAATAGATGTCAGGGTCGTGAGATCAAGCCTCACGTCAGGCTCCACACTCAGTGGGGAGGCTGCTTGAGATTCTCTCTCCCCCCTTCCCTGTGCCCCTCCCCCTGCTCTCTCTAAAATAAATCCTAAAAAAAAAAAAAAGTGATGTACAGATAAGAAATCAGTTTAGTATTTGAAAAGACCATGACATTTAGATAAATTTAAAACTTAAGGCTTTATAGCTAATTTCCCCATATTTCTTTGTATGTAGTATATACTTAATAAACATTTGTGGAATGCATAAATACTCAACAGCAGTTTATTTTTGTTACTACTTTCCTCCGAACACATGCCATTCAATACCTTCTCTGCTCATTACAGCATAAAATGTTTACATGTCTTAACATACAATCTTCACAATTAGTGTGCCCAGTACTATTTCTGGGGATTTCCCAATTGTTGGGAATTTCAGGTTATATATAGTCTCTCGCTATTATTCATAATCCAGCAAGGGAACATCTTTGCCGAAAATTCCTTCAACTGAATTATTTGCGGGAGTGGGAGTTCTGGGTAAAAAACAGCGCGTCCATATAATTTATCACCCAAATTTGGACACCTCTGAGACTGAATGAAGATGCTATTAAGTTATGCCAAGACTGGGACTGTCTTGGATAGGTTGAGATGTATGATAACTCTAGTAAAAGGGCTTGAAGAATGTCACTACTTTTGTTTTATACTTACACACTTCCAAATTACAAATTACAGCAGCTAACTATTAAAGGTTTATTGTATGGACAGGCATGATTTAATTAAAGTCCTAACATGAGATAGATACAATTATTTCCCCCATTTTGCAGAACAGAAAAGTAGAATATACAGACTTCAGAATCTGAATTAATATTACCTACTCCACCTGATGGGGTCAAACTACCAATTCTCAATGCCCCTGGAGGTGTAGACTACTATATAAATTTCATCTCAACACCAACATCATTGGGTGTTACAAATTTATACATTCTAAAAATAAACAATAGCCTTTAAATTTACTTCTGCATTTCCTCGATTAACAGCTAGCATTTATTGTGCCAGGAACTGTTCCTGGGCTTTTTACACTGAATTGCATTCAATTCTCACAATAACTCTGAGTAAAAATGAGTATTAATCCCATTTTTATAGTTGAAAAATATGAGGCACAAGAGGAAAGTAACTAGGTAAAGTAAAATAACTGATAGGTGGCAGAGCTGGGATTCACGGAGAGACGTGGGCTCCAGAACCCTGTTCTTAAGTCTGCTTTGACTTACAAGGAAATCTGCTCTATTACTCTCCTTTCCAGAGAGTGAAACTACCAAAGGTACAGAAGTATAAAATCAACTGAAGACATTGGCTAAACTTCATTTTAACAAAAAGTCTGAAAGCCTTTCCCAGTTTCTACCCAAAACATTTAACCCTTAACTCTCAGAACGCTGGAGCCATTCCTGCAGTGAGCACAGGCCTGCTAGCAGACACTCCAGGAGGGCCTCCTCTACTGCTGACAGCAGCACCAAGTGCTGGAAGAATCGCCAGCTTAGGTCCTACTCCTGCCTCTTGTGCTAAGACGAATGTGTGACCTTTTCTGGATCTCATATTTGTTACTTGAAGACTGTTGGGAGCAAATTTAAAAAGGGGGGAAAAGGATGTAAAATTGCTTTTCATCGATAAGTTAAAACCACATGAATATTAGATCCCTAACTACTTTTTGCTGAACCTAAATATATTCACTCATTATGCTAGAGAGGACTTGTTTAATGATGGACTGGAGAAGTGAGAGTGGAAATTGTGACTATCCTTTTCTTCTATCCTTCTACCATCCAGGTTAAGACACTGCTCAAGCCTTTCTTCCCTACTGAGCTTAAAAACAGTTGTCAAAGAATAAGCTGGGATCAGTGCACTGGATGGTCAACACAGCAACTGGACCTTAATCTTTGACCTTAAAACTCTTTCAGGATGAATATTCCATGGAAAAACAACAACAACAACAACAACAAAACCTTATGAAAGAACATGAGTCAGACAGTCATTTTCAGCGATGAGGAGCTACAATGGAAACGGACACAAACGTACATATTACAGCTAATGTCAGCAGGAAACACTGGTGGTTACAACTTTTCCTTTTGTTGGTGAGAAACTACAAGGGCATCTCTCTCTACAACACCCTCTACACAGTGGAAAATTTAACATAGGTTGTCTTTAGAGTGATGGGCCCCAAATGTACAGTAATAGTGAGATTCTGAGGTCTTTTGTACAACTATGGAAGCTTTTAAAATTTTTATTTTTACTTTTCAAGAAGATTTTATTTTTAAGCAATCTCTACACCCAACATGGGGCTTGAACCTACAACCTCGAGATCAAGAGTCACATGTTCTGACTGAGCCCGCCAGGAGCCCCTAGAACCTTTACAGAATTTCCAAGCCTCAAACATGTAATACCATTACCTTCTGTGTTCGCGTGGGCTGGCATAAAATTATCTCTTTCCCAAGCGTAACTCCTCCCCAACCTTATCCCAGAAGGTTAATGAGGCCCAAACCTTTAGGTCTTGCCAGCTGCACCGACTTGACAAATTCTCCACAATAAGTCTGTATTCTGTACGGGTGGGAGGGCCATATTTATCGCGGCCACTTCTTCTATAACCATATCCACCTTTGGAAGGTTCAAACAGATAACATTACTTCAGTGGAGGAAAAGGAAAAAGTGACACAGCACATATTCCCCTTAAGTGTACCACTTACCCCACCCCCACAGCACAGATATTTTAGTTCAATCCCCACCCCTTAATTCTAAACTAGATTTTTTAAAAAAAGCAATCAACTAAACATGAAATTTAATTTAATTTACAAAATGGTAAGTATATATATTCATTAATATTATATTTAAAATTAACATGCATAAATTAAAACTATTAACAATTTAACAATTTAGAAATAAGTAACCAAATTACTACATCAGTTACTGGTGTTACTCACAGTGATTAAAGTTTTTGTGAATATTTTATACGAAAAAAAGATTTTCAGGCACCTATTTCAGTTTAATCTCATCTGTGTCTAACCCTTGGGATCCTCACCACCCAGGTCTAATGGGGAAAGGTTGCGGTCGTCACATGGCTTCCTGTTTTGGTCAGCCAAGGGCCACAATGGTTCAAAGAGCCACGCATGGAAAGGTAACCCAAGGTCAGCAAATGGAACAGGCAGTCATCTTAGCCTCAAAGGATTCTTTTAATTAAAACATTGAGGTCTTTGTTAAATCTATGTTAAACAATTGCATTACAGAGAAAAAAAAACAACACAAACACACATCATTAAACATATTTATAAAGTATTAAAACAAGAACTTTATGTCATTAATTAAAATTAAACAGTATCAAAGATGTTTATTTGCAATTTTACATTTAAAAAGATACATAATTTATAAAACAAATAGCTTAAATAGCAATACATTTCAGTGTAACATTAATTAATTAATTACTTAAAAAATTAACATTTAACAACAAAGGCATGTATGGCATTGATACAAATGCCCTTTTAAATGCTTACTGCGTCCAGAACCGTAACTGCCATCTCGACGTGGGCCGCGGGCATGCTCAACAATTACTCGCTCACCACAAAGGTCTTTGCCATTTAGTTCATAAACAGCATCATCTGCATCACGCAGATCATCAAACTCCACAAACCCATATCTAGAAGAGAGCAAACAAAATCCTGGTTGGCACCATTTTGACATCCAGCTTCACTACCATTAAAGAGAAAGCAATGAGGGTCATGCTTAGCAAAGGTTAGGTGGGTTTTGCAAACTAAGGATCGCCTTTCTCTTCCCTTTGGCTGAAACCACTTGCTTTGTGCCAACAGGCACCGCAAGAGGATAGGGAGACTTCTCAAGGTAGACTCCTGTCTTTCTAGTAGGAGGCTGGCTAAATACACAGAGATCATTTCTTTTGTTCCCCAAGTAGTTGGTGGCAGCTGCAGAGACCTCCAGAGGGATGCTTGGTATGAAGGATCAAAATATGTGACTCTATAACATTGAGTATTTGCCCTTTTAAGTCACATAAAAACTCATCTTCTTTTTAGCTTTAGCCCCAAATGAAAGCTTCAAGAACAACTAGACCTACATCCAGGCACTGCATCTTAACTGTTAAGTCATGTTTGGAATAACATACCAAGTAAAAAACTCACAGTACCTCAAATCTCAGTGAAAGGAAAAAAAATTTTTTAAAGTTCCTGTTCTTCTACCTAAATAATCACAAATGAATTAACTGTTCTAGAGTTATCAGTGAGAAAAAAAAAATCAGATCTATTCAGTTCCTCATGATTTTGCAAATTCATTTCCAGGAGGTTTTAGGTAAGCTGGAATTTTCTAAAACCTATATATGACTGTGCAAACTTCTTTATACAGCACTGCTAGGACTTTCCCAACAAAGAGGTTTGCTGGTTTTCACATATCTGAAAGAAAGCTCCCTCCCCCCTGAATCCTATTCATGCCTGTTAAAGAACACAACTTAACAAAACTGAAGAGCAAAATGTGTAAGGTATTCATAAGTAAGGTTAAACAAACACCCTATAAACTATGTTATCAATAAACTTTCAGTTTGGTCTAACAACACAGCTGTGAAGTCTAGCTTTGTGACCACTGCCTATATTTAAAAACCAAAACCATCTTAATGATCATACCTAATCACAAGGAAAGTCACAAGCAATGTCTTTAACAAAGCTGCGTACACAGGCAAACACTGACCAGTGTTCTGCTGCGTCTAAACGGACTGGAACTAAAAACAGGTTACAAGGCTTGCCAGGAGTTCATCCAGCCTGACCGACATTATTCCAGTTTCCTTAGCATGTAATGCTGCATTCAGCAACATGTTAAGTGAGAGAAACTCGGAATTGCGGGATTTTCCCTTTACTGAAGAATTCCTTTCCAACCAGACTCTCCAGAGGTGACAGTGAATGGCTGACAACTTTGGAGGGTTCTTTACACACTGAAATGTCTATGAGTGGCATTCAAACTTCAAGTCACCGAATCTCAACTCCATTAAAAAAAATGGAACACAGACACATTCAGTTGTTCAATGGGAAACGTTTTGCAGTAACACAATTCAGAAGCCACCCGGCTCAATTTGGGGGCTATGAAGCCTAAAACATGGTTTGATACTTCCAGAAGGCTGGAATTGCTGTGCAGTAAGCAGAGTGATTCTGAACATGTCATATTTGACAAAGCAAATAAGGCCTCTCCCAATATTGACTTACTATGTTAAAAAGTGCTTTACAGTCACTGAGAATCTATCATTGATAATATATTGCAGCTGCCTTTTCCTTTCCTAAGTAGAGTGAGATAGCAGGAAAGCTGTACTATCATTTTGAGAGACAAAACTAAATAAAAAAGCAAATAAAAAAAAATCAAATCTTTCTACTTAGGTTTATTTCTTGATCATAAAATACTCCCCTGCCCCAAAAGTACTTCCTTAATTTAGTTGTCAAGACTGGTCACAGGTCTGCTTTGCCCACAGCATCACTGCTCTTGGCCTCCTATGCCTGATGCCAAGAGCGAGCTATGGGAGAAAACATTCACCCCGGGCGTGATGAAATGCCCCGGTGCCCCTCTAAGAGTGGCATGCTGGCTCAGCATCATTCGCTGCCCCGAACTCATCTAAGATGATGTCCGAAGGGCAACACTGACTCCCAAAGACTGAACAAATCAGACATACCCAAACGGTTTTCTTCAAAATAATCAGGGTTTACAACTATTCGAGGGTCAGAGAATACAAGACCCTAAGCTCTGCCAATCGTCTGAACTAGAAAGCCCAACTTCTGTTACTAACAGGTGATGTTTGTCAGACCCATGTGGTAATGCATCCTCCCAGACTCAAAGATCCCCCCTGTGCATGCTCACTGTGTTCCAAGGCTTTCATGCAGAACCTATTCTGACCTTGGAAGGAAAGTAATGACAATCTGTTAAATGGAGACATATCTAAAAAACAGAAACAAAAACAACTAATGCTCAGACTAATCTTTCTCTGCAGCTGAGGCTGAAGCAAGGCATACTTTGCCAATAAAATTCTTCCCTGAGTTGTAGGGACCAATCTGTGTTATTAGAGGAAAATAGTCCTTACAGTCAGTCCTTAGTATTTACTTCTAAAATTTCTAGTAAGTAAATTCTAATACTGACTTCTAAGTGGGTCACTTAGTAGACACATGTCTGGGATATCCAAGTCACTTATTAAAATAGCTACCTTGAGATCAAATTTATTTTACAGAAAAAATCTGGCTACTCTGTGAAAGGCCACAAACTCTATTTAGGAAATTTCATTTTAATTATTATTTTTTAAAAAACTCTATGCCCATCCTGGAGCTCGAACTCGTGACCCTGAGATCAAGAGTGGTGTGCTCTACTGACCGAGCCAGCCAGGCCCCCCTCTTTGGGAAGTTTTTATGTCAAAGTCCAGTCCAAGGATTAAATCAGGCATGTTGACTGTCACTTCCCTTGGCACGGACATGCTGGGTGGGTTTGGAAGATTAAACCAAATATCCTCTTGCATCACAAACCACACCTGATAGGGACTCCTGTTTTGAGAGCTAAGTAAAGACCAGATCAGTGTGGTTGCTTCCACCACCTTACTGTTTATTCTGATCGGCTTCACTTAAAGAATGACTTTGTTTCATTCACTAAGCAGTGAGTGGGTTCCCCAAATAAGGCAGGAAGACTACATAGTAACAATAAAGTGTTACTTAGCATTTATGAAGTAATCTCCATACACTAGACAATGTTATCTTATATTCACAATACCCAAGAGCCAGGTACTACTACTGCCATTTTACAGATGAGGAAACAGAGACACAGAGCTTTAAGTAACCTGCCTGATAAAACAGCAGAGCTGGCCTTCAGAACCCATGGTAGGACTCCAGAAGGCAAACTCGTAACTATTCAGCCTGGAGCAGCAAGAACTGGCCTGGGTTCTAGTCCTGATCAATCAACTCTGACAAGCAGATTTAAATCATTTTATTTTCCTAGGTCTTAGTTTATCCGTGAAATAAAGAAGCTATACTACATATCCTTAAGGTTTCTCCTAATGTCAAAAGTATGATAGGTAATGTTAAAATGGGAGAATTTCAACTAATCTGGTAGAATCAGAGGAATACCACAGTGACAGATGGACAGGGATAAATTTAATTTTTATCATCTCAAGTTCCTTTTAAAACTATTGTATGGGTCCCAATTTTAATTTTAAATTTTAAAACTGTCTCAATTAAATTTAGTGCCTTTAAGAAAATAAAACTCTCCCTGGTAACTAATATCAGAGGATCTTTCTACACTGATTTTAACATCCCTTTGTGTTTTGCAGCAAATGACATGAAACTAATCTCCCAAAAAGTACTCTCCTTCTGAACTCGTTGTCAAAATAAGGAGGGATATAAAATACACACATGCACGCATACACATTGTATGCTACTGACATGTGTATATTGATGCATACAAATCTCTGGCGTAACTGTAAGCCTCATAAACACAACCTAACATTTCTTTCCAGCTGCAGACACCCCTCCTCTTCTACTGTGAAAACCCACCATCTTTCAGTAATTCCAGTATGAGACTAAAGAAGATGAAGGAATTCAGGAGAATGAATCTAAGACAAATTTAAAAATCCCTCCATGGCAGGGCTTAGTAAAAATAAAACAAAAACCTTCCCATGTGCTTTTTCCTGCTTTCTTCCCAGATGTCATGTCTTTCACCCCCCACCCATGCCTATGTGGAAGAACAAAAAGCATGGCCTATTAAATGCACTCCATTTTTTAATTAAAAGAAAAACTTATTTCTTCACCATTCCTCTGCTATGGCCTTTTCCCTAACTCTTTTCCTCTGGGTCACATTTTATCCTGACAGATTTAGCAAAAAAAAAAAAAAAAACAAACCAAAACAGGGAGTGCCTGTCATTTTCTCCCTAAAAAAGGGGGACTGTGATTCTTAGCAGGTACGGACAGGTTTGTGGACAGCATGAACAAAGCCACACTGAGTTGTGTGCGCTGCTCTACACTTTAGTGCAGGCTCCCAGCACGGCCAGCTCTGGTGGCCCTCGTTCAACAGGTGCCCTACTGCTCAGGCTATCAGTCAGAACTCGGAAATGCTGGAACTGGAATGACATGGTTTTAAAACTACTCTAAGACTTCCATTTTTAGAAATGTTAATCATACATTTTCACCCAAGAATTATCATCTGAACCTGTGTTGTTGCTGAAGGGGCTTTCCCTGATCCTAATAATCTCTCGATGGTCCCAAATACCGCTCTGCATGGCCCGCTGAAGAAGATGTGCCGCCTACCCCGCCTCTTTCAGAACGACTTAGGGTCATCTCTGTCTTCCAGACATCTTCACTGATAGGGAGATTGGAGAAAAGTCCCTTCTGAAAAATGAGCAGCAGGACTTGCTCTGGAGGTATGCTGACCAAGCTAACCGGGCAGGGCAGGACTAAGGGGGTGCTCAGCGCTGGCTAACTGAGGGGGAGTGGACATGAGGAGCAAGGGAAAGCAAGCCTCCATGCGTGTGCCTGCCATCACCCACCAACACTGCTTACCGAGGGGCATGCCTTGGTTGTTCTCTCTATAAGAAAAATGTGCCCCTTTTCACAGTAGATCTCTGCTCACCTTTGTCCTACAACTGTGCCACATGCTTTTCTTTGTATGTGGACATGACAGTCCTCAGCCAACCATCAGCAGGATGTGAGTTTTGTTTTCCCAATGTGGTGAGCCATTCCCACATTCACTCATTTTCCTTGTAAGAACCGAACCTCTCCATGGCTGGTCAGGATTAGGGATGTTGCTGTAGCCAAGGAAAAATTTTCATCTGTTGAAGTTAACCCATGGGGTGGCTTGAACCCTCAAACTAGGGTCAATAGCACTGTTCTTTAAGGGCAGAGCCCTTAAATCTACCCTGAAAGAAATGGCATTCAGTGAACAGGAATCAAACAGCTCTTTCAAAGTACTCAGTGTTGGTCCTACGCTTCAGTCAACTTGGTCCTATGAGGTGAAAAAAGTTAGGACATGTTGACAGGATAGTAATAACAGCAGTAATCCTCGCTGTCTGCATAAAATGCTTGGAAAAGTGCAGAAAGACACTTCTGCGACTGTTCTCTACTGCTCAGGTGAGGCCAACTCAGAGAAAAGCCTGCAAGTGAGAACGGCCACTGCTCCAATTCCAGAGGCCTGCAACATTCCAGGGAAGCAGTGGTCAGGCCCTCAAAGCAGAATCAGCCAGCGTCACACTCACCGCTCTGGGCCACTGACCATGGCTGCAGTTTGACTTTTCCGGTCACAGAGGGCTGTTCACGACCCGCGGCTAGGAGCTCCTACCCCATGAAGTAGGTTCCTGCGGCCCTTTCCTATCCTGAGACAGGAAGGAGGCTGCTCTGGGCATTCTGGCCATCAGGGCGGCCTGGAGAAGGCGGATGACTTACCCGTGCTCCCCGAGTGGCAGAGCTGGGGGGCGGCTTCAGGGCTCACCAGTGCCCAGCCTGGGGCTCTGTTCCCGTCGGCAAACTGGCAGCTCCCGCGCACCAAGAGCTCTCTGAGTAGAGCTAGTGTGGACTCCTGGTCTGTAAGCGCTGGCCACAGCTCAGTCTGCACTTGATCTTTCCCCACCTTCAAAGAAGAAAACCTACCTCATGAGGTCTCTCTCCTGGAGCCCCTGAGCACTAGTCTCCTCCCAGCACTCGGCATCACCCCTGACGAGTCCTCTCTGGCTGCCCGTTCGGCCTGGCCCTAGTTCTCTCATCTGCCGGGCCCCCCAAGGCCGTCTTCTGCCTGTCTGATGGGCTTCCTTAGTTCCAGGATATGGCTACTCTTAACTTAGGCAACTTGTCTCTTTGGGTGCAGCAGGGAAAGCCAGCTCCTAGATTATTCTTTTGCTCAGAGGTCTAGGATGACTCCTAAAGAAATTTGTTTCCATCATTCTCCAAACCCAAGTGCCTTGATTACACAAGGCGAAGCAAACAATCTTCTTCCATAGACTTGAGAATTCTCTCTTTTACGAAGTCTCACACACTTGCCTGACTAATCATCTGAGCACCTTCTTTAGCTTTGGCACTTCTATTCCATTTTATGTTTTACGTGACAATGTTTCTATGGCCTTTCAAGGCCTTGCTCTTTTTTCTTTGTGCTGATCCTCTCATTTGATTATGTGCTCTTTAATAACAAAGACTAATATTTAGTGTAGTGCCTGGCACACAGTAAATAATTTATCCATAATATTCCATTCATTCCTCATATTGTATGTGAAGAATGTACTATTATTATGATTATTCCCATCTCACAAATGAGAAGACTGAGGCTTGGAGAGACTAAGCTACTGTTCACTGCGAAGGAGCTCATAAGTGGTGTGGCTGGATCTGAATCCAGATCCATCTGACTCCAGACTCAAGTTCTAAACTACCAGGTTACACTGCCTTTGTAAAGGCAGATACTTCTTCTCTCGCACAGTCCTGAGTACAACCCTTTCATTTAACAAATGCTGCTGCTTGACTTGATAATCTAACTTCAGATAAGCCAGGTTGTATTCAAGGTTTTGGTTAAGTGGGTTAAAGTCTCCAGAGAGAAAAAGAAACTGATCTTGGGGCAAGGTGAGGCACCTCTAAGCTTGGGGTATGTGACAACCAGGTTACTTTCACTCTTGTCTTTTGGTTCCCATTAGCCAGTGTCAGCCATCTGGTCCTTCCGAAAACATGTGTGGGTTCAGAACATAACAGACTAGAAGAATAGAGGAAAAATAAGATTATTCTGTGCAATCCCCATTCTGGAGGTCCCACAACAACCCCTGGAATCTGTCTTTGGTTTTAAGGCTCAGCAAAAATTAGACCAGCATAGAGATGACGGAGAGTCAGGCCTAGAGGTGGTAGATGTGAATGGATATTGACAAAATTATGTATTTAAGAATGCATTTAATTAGTTTTGTAAGGAATGGTGACTGGGACCAAAAAATAGAAGCATGAATGGTATGGAAAAAAAATGGACCAGAAATCAAAGAATACTATAAGGTTTACAGACTTCCAACTACACCAAGATTATAGCAGCAACCAGGAAAGTACTTTGCAGATGATAGGCATCTAAGATCTGATTTAATTTTGTTTAATTCCGAACTACTATTAACATGACTACTCCAGCCCACCAGAATTCTTTCCTTCTTCAAATTCCTTTGTAATAATTTTCACAACTCTGAGGTTTACTGTTAGCTCACTGATGAAGACACTAAGACTCAGGGCAGGGAAGGAACTTGCCAAGGCTACCCAACACCTGGAGTCCTTTCTAGCCCAAAGTCAACACTCACTATCATGAGCTACTGCCTCCCATACAGTAACGGAAAGATGTGGTCCAAAGAGCAGACACAGTTTGAGAAATGCAAGCTCTAGAAGCACGGAAAATCAGTTTTATCAAATTATGTGCTGTGGAAGAGAAATGCCCACGTGAATATTAGCATCTTATGACAAATACTAAATGGTGAGAAATACCACTTCTGCACCTGATAGGTACTGATACAAGTTGTGAACACGATTTCTCTAAGTTACTTGTGGAACCAAACCTATCAAAATTACCAAATTTTATAGCTCATCAAAACTTTAGCATCAGTCTAGGAAAACAGAGAAAAGTAACATCATTAAGGGAATGCCAGCCCATCTCTAAAGGAATGCTCACATACTGGGGTGAAGAAAATATAACAGAAACAATCGTACCCTAAATATTAGCAATAAAACAAAATTCCTCCAAAACAGCAGGAGGTAGAGAGGAATCTGTATCAAGTTCAAATTTAGTATTACTTTGTAACCATTCTACAGGCCTATCTGCCAATTCCTTTCAACTATCCAGAACTGTTTCAAAATGAACCTAAGGTTGCTAAGCGATTTCGCTTTCATTAAGCTACCACCATATTTCCACCCTATAAAATGGGACTATCCCAGAAAGCAACATACTTCTGAATAATTTGTGGATCACCATTACAACCATAACCCCCATCACAACAAAATGTGTTTCATTGACATTTTAAACTCAACATGGCTGCTTTCTTCAAAGGGGGTAAGGGGCAAACAATCACACCTGTGTGCCTTTCCATTTTGTGACACTTATCAACACTAAGAGTAAATGAAGAGATCCCACAAGAAAAGGGGTCAACTATTCCCTGATGACACACTACAGTTCATGAAGACAATCACAGATTTAAAAATATATGTATATATATTAAAAAAAAAACCCTCCAGAAATAAACGTCATATTACCAATTTAGGAAAAAAAAAACAAAACTCTTGGGATGTAAGATAGGAATACTGTATCTGTTACTCATACCTAAGTGAAATAAAAGTTTACACTCAGCGGACAGCACCACTTGATTCCACACAAAAGCCACAAACAAAACCAGTTTATACTTACCTCTAAAATGGCACTATGAGTGGGTAACAGGTGTTAAAGCCTCTCAGAAGTTATACCTCTGGGACCATCTTGGCTGTTCCCATATCCCTCATAACCACTCCACAGTCCCTGCGTTGCAGTCAGTTTCTTTTCCTTTTCGGTTAAAGATGCCACTTCCTATGCTATTTCTTAGGGGATGCCCTTCCCTTGAAATCAGTCATTTAATTCATTTAGTATTTTAACATTTTCAAATTCTTTTAACATTAACGGATCAACAGCTTCTTGTCATCCACACGAAACAAATTTCTCAAAGTCAGTGCTTCAGGTCTGCGGTTCCTGACTCCTGTGCCTGAGCCTCCTGCTCACCTCTTCCATTCCCGAAGGCAGGATTCAGACCTCCCTCCTCTCCTCCTTTGGTCTCCCCACTTTCTCTAGGTCTTGGAGGTCTCTGTTTACGAATGCCCCCCATTCTGGCATCCAGGCCTAACGACGTGGCTGGGGGACTTGATAGAAGGATTACAAGCGTCCTTTGGGTGCTTCTTCAGGTATCATTTGCAGTTCTGAGACCTCCAGACTTGCATCTCAACACGCAGGGAAGGTCACGGAGGGCATTTCCTCAAAATAGGGGCATGCAAATCCAGAGCACAGCCTGATCCTTCGCCTTCAGGTTACTCCAAGACCAGACAGCCCTAGCAATAACGCGACAGAGATCACTTAACTGCATCTGCTCGCACAAATCCTACCCCAGTCAGCCAGGACCAAGCTGACACCATCTTACAGCTCTTCAAAGAACAGCCTGAGAGTTTCACTAGTTTCTGTGTAGGGCCAGTGTCACAAAAACTACCACCTGTCTCATTGTTGGCAGTAACTTTTTAGCTTGTTGAAGACTCTGTAGAGAGACTAAAGACCGAACAGGCTGTGGAACCTAACTACCTTCTCATCCTTGGAGGCAAGTGCCAGAGCAACAGGACTGAACCATCTGGAAGGAAAGAGCATGAGAGGCTTTGACTGCCACTGCTCCTGCTGTATCTGGTATGGGAATAAGAAAGCGCTTCAGCTTCCAGAGTTGTCAATAACTCATTCTGTAACCTTCAGCCAGGCACTTAATTGACCCAATGCCTCAGTTTCCCCATCAGTCCAAACTAGAGACAACAACACTTGTTAGTAAAGCGCTCTGGTGTATGCAGTTGAAAAATAAATTACACAAGTGCATGCTGTTAATGTTTTTTAGAGTTCTGAAATTCCAGTGTTAGCTTACAAATTTATAAAGACCACCCCCAATCGTATTCTTTTACATACTAGGAGCATCTTTCTTAGAGAAGCTCAAAGTACAATTTTCTGTTTAAGTTACTTGGAAGCATCCAGAAAAATATCGGGAACCCGTATCATATTTTATCCAGTCTTCATCCTATGCTTACCATTTAAAAGGGACAAATATTTCACATGGCCCTTTTATTCATATGCTCCCTCAATGAGGAAGGGAGGTGCAAGAGACTGAACTGAGGAACAGGGGTTTAAAATGACTTGGCTGAATAATTACAGACAATGTTTATTACAGAACCACAGAGTGGAAGTCTCAAGCCAGGGAATTTATGCTAGCAACATTTGGTCAAAATTGCAGCCCGGTGTTGTCTCTTGGCACTGATTTTTCAAGATTACAGAAACTTAAAAATTACCCATCTCAGGAAAAAGAAAAGTAACATTTAAATTTTGGTTATAGGCTGACTTCAAGAGATTGCAGTACAAAAACCAACTTGGTCACATTTGTAATGGTTCTACTACTAATAAAGAATGCTACTAAATCCATAGCCCTATGTCTCATTATTTTTTACTCATTTAAGAAAAAGTTCTTGGTTAAGACACATAAGACCACTTGCACCTGTGAAATTAGCAAAGATCTGAAACGACACGTACGCCCGATGCCGGTGAGGCAGCCATGACAGGCGCCACACACTGTGGGTACAAGTGGCACTGGGACACAGCTTTTCTCAAAGTTACTTGGCATTATATGCACTGAGTGCCTTGAAAACGTTCTTTCCTGCTGTGACACGTGAATTTTACTCCACAGAATCTGTCTTAAGGAATGATAAAAATACAAAGTTTTATGCATGTGATACCCATCACAGCGTTATTTTAACAACCAGAATTCAGAGATGACCTAAGAGAAATGGTTGGGTAAATCATGATTCAGCCGTACAATGAATTTTCTGCAGCCGTTAAAATGATGTATGTAAGATCTTTATGTAACAGAAAAAATACACAAGATAAATTAGGTAGAAAAAGTGGGACATAAAATTGCACATCAAGACCTTATGTTATGGGGCGCCTGGGTGGCTCAGTCGTTAAGCGTCTGCCTTCGGCTCGGGTCATGATCCCAGGGTCCTGGGATCGAGCCCTGCACTGGGATCCCTGCTCTGCGGGAAGCCTGCTTCTCCCTCTCCCATTCCCGATTGTGTTCCCTCTCTCGCTGTGTCTCTGTCAGATAAATAAATTAAATCAAAAAAAAAAAAAAAAAAAAGACCTTATGTAAGGGGCGCCTGGGTGGTTCAGTTGGTTAAACGTCTGCCTTCGGCTCAGGTCATGATCCCAGGATGGGCTCCTGGCTCAGCGGGGGGGTCTGCTTCTCTCTCTCCCTTTGCCCCCCACCCTCCCACCAGTGCTCACGCACTCTCTGTGGTCACTCTCTATCTCAAATAAATAAATAATATCTTTAAAAAAGGACCTTATGTTAAGAGGATTTCATATTTATTTTCTAATCAGTCAAAAAGTTCTTTTTAAAAAAAGTTCTTGAATCTGTTATGCCTGGTAGGCTAAAGAATGAGCCTTAATGGGTGCAAGATAACTTCCTCATATGCAATTTTAAACATTCTCATTAAAAATCATAATATTAAAAAAATTATAATGAAGGCTAGTTCAGAGTTCAGAAAAATACGAACTCTTAAACACAACAGGTGAAAATATAAATACTCTGTCTAGAGAGTAATGGAAACCAATAGGTAGCAAAAGCCTTAAAGATGTGTATATACTTTGACTCCAAAGGTCCATCCAGGAATCTACCCCAAGATTTACATAAAGGATATTTACCTCAGTGCTATGAAAGCATAAATTAGCAAAAAACCAAAGACAACCTAAATGTCTTGCAACATGGTTTTAATTATGTACAATAAATAACACTGATATGTGGGAATACTATGAACCCTTTAAGAATCAAGTTGTCAGAGAACACTTAATGACAAAGGTAAAGAATCAAGCTGTTAGGTAGAAACAAACAGGATGTACAGTATGACCCTAAGTCTGCAGAAAGGATGGGGAGGCATAAGAAAAGCATGCGTGTATGAAAAAAAGACAGTCTCAAAATGCAGACAGTGTCATCTTTGATTATTTTTTGTCCATAAATACATATTTATGTAAAATGTAAAAATTTTACAGTAAGAAATAAAGACATGCTATTTTGAAACACTATAGGAATTAAAAATGGGTCTTTAATTTTAACTATGTATAAACAATGTTGTTCAAGTGCTCCTTTAAACAAAACTGTTTTAATCTCTTCTTAGATAATCATAAAATGACTCCAGAACCAAATGCCTTACTTAACAGAAAGATTCAAAGCTTTGGACCGCAAGGGTTCAAATGTGCCACTATTTCTGCGGGCAGAACTGCCTGTGGACAAAAAGGTGGAGTCTTTTTAAAGGGAGAGTGGGTTTGCCTTTTGTCATTCCTGGCACTCATTAATTGTACCATTATCATAAAAATGATAAAGCATTTATCGCTTTTGGTGGTGGGTGAAGATAATCTCCCACAGTTCAATTAACCAGAAACCAATAACCTGGAACATTAAACTAATTATATTTCCATTATTGCCCCTTTAAAATGAAAAGACAAGAAACTAAACAAAACAAGCCCCTATCAAGGACCAGAGAGAATCCCTGTGTAGGGTCTGGGGTTGGCAGGTTTTCATCTCATTGTCTAAAATCTAACAATGCTCTACAGTGATCGGGGACAAAACCAGTAATTTTGACTCACTGAAAGAGTATTAGCATGTTAAAAAAAATTAAGGTACCTTCTACTTGAAGGGATTTTCAAGGAGGGTGAAAATAAAAACTTCCTGCTAATACTTAAAAAGTTGTGTAAATCCAATCAATCAGACGAGAACACACCCTGAAAATTCTGGGTATTCACAATTTCACTGTAATATGAAGCACAGGTGTGAAATATATAGCCAAGTTTCTCTGGAGAGTTATAATTCGTGTCTTTAGCCAACTTAAAAATAAACAAAACAAAATAACCTCAATGATTTGGAGTCCAGCTCCTAGGCAAGTAAAATAATCTTAGGGTATGATAAATTAAATTTATTAACTAAGATATGGAAAAATTAAAATATAAAGACCTATGACTGTAACCACAAGATTTTGTGGCAAGAGAAACTACCGTATTTAAAACCTTCTTCGGGGCGCCTGGGTGGCTCAGACGGTTAAGCGTCTGCCTTCAGCTCAGGTCATGATCCCAGGGTCCTGGGATCGAGTCCCGCATCGGGCTCCC